TGAAAGCAAAGTACACGGTAAAATGAAGGTTGTGCATCAAACCGGAGACTTGGCCTTATGGCACTTTAATATAGTAAGTATTTGATGAATGCAAACAATAATCCCTATCTGAATAACATACCACCGAAAGAGCACAGATAATATCTGAAGCCAGCTGCTTCTGTCCTGCTGGTCTCAGGTGAAGCCCATCGCGAGGCAATGAACTCCTGCCTTACTCCCCGGAAGACATGAAGTTAGGGTGGCCGACATAGGGTCAATCCATTCTCACCACAAAAGTGTTTCACTTTCTCGTTGAGGGTGTAAGCCTTCTCGTTGAGGGAATCCTGATTTCCACGGCCTTGTCGCCATCTATTCCGGTATCTTGGGGTGACACCGGAAAGGAGTACCACAGCTCTGTGTAACATAGCATACAAAACATTATGTGCATCCACCAGATATTTTGCCCACCCGCTGAAATCTCTGAAAATGGAATTTATCTAAACAATCTGTAGTCGGACACTGCCTTGGACGTTTGACCTCATTTTGCAACCGCTCGTATAAGTAAATGTCAGATTAAAAGAAGTTGTTATCCATAAAAACGTAACATGTATTCAAATGTCAGATTGAGCTTGACAGGTTTTTAAACGGGTGCATAAAATTAGATGACATACCGTGGGTTCTGCTTCCTTATAATTTCAACCAGTCTCGCGAAGTTGTCCAAGACCTGCCCAGGCGTCCTAGGCATGTACGCCAGGTCGTTGATCCCAACGTGGACGATGATGAACTGGAAACAATGTTGAAGTAAAACTCACTTCAGAAATGACTTGATTTGGGCGGTCAAAACATAAGATACGCTTTTTAGCATCCGATATCCACAATGATGGGTATATTATGACTATGCGCGTGAAATAATCCTCATTCTGTGCACAATCCGACATTCTTCAACTGTTTCCTACCTGAAAGTTCTCTATGTCCCACAAGAGATCGGGAATGTCAGCCACCTTGGCTCCGGACAGAGACCTTGTCACGATCCCTTCTTTCTGCGTATAACGTCCAACATACTTCAGTAACGAGTCGCCAACAAGTAATGCAGACATTTTCAGATCAGATCATTTGAATATAGGCTGCTACTGCCCAGCTCGGCCAGTTTTATATGGATGCATTTTGAAAGCTAGGCGGACACTGTGGATTTAATGAAAACATACTTCTCCCACTGCTCTCTCTAATACTTCTATTGTCTGTATGCGTGTTCAGGAAAACAGGATTATCTGAAACGCTTGAAGTTCACAACATCAGGAAACGGCATAACCGAGTAACCTTTAGCAAAGCTCTCACAGTGAAAACAATGTTCTCCCGAGCCTGAGCTGGGCAGAAGACAGTGTCATTGCCGTGGATGTGTTTTCATACTTTCGTATGTTCAAATTATATAACCATAACATCTCATACGGCAAGTCATTTTAGCTGATACCTTCTGATATTTATTAAATTACTGATATCATGAATAGCTTCAGCCGGCTATCTATATCTGTACTAGTATGAATTGATGTTTATACTGTGGAAACTGTACGGAGAACATCCTGTATTCTTGAAACCACTAAAAAACCCCACCTCTTTCAAGCATTTCATGTCATATAATTGGGTATAATATCTTCTGATATTTATTAATTTACTTTTATGTGTAAATCATATCACGAATAGCTTCAGCCTGCCATCTGTATCGGTACTAGTATTCATTAATGTTTATACTCTGGAACATAACACAAGTGGAAGCATAATTAATTAATTAATTAATTAATTTTATATATATATATATATATATATATATTTCATAGATAAATAAAAACAGAATGCCGTTTTCTCCAACATGTTTCGTTCTTTACTCTTCAGGGAGATTGTCAATATATATATATATATATATAATAGAACAAATGTCTCATTTTTAGCATTTCTAATTTAGTCAGTGATTACATGCCCCTCTGTGATAAAGGTTTTGAAGAAACGGTGGAGTAATAATGAATAACACTGAAGGCCCCTGAACGGTAATTAAGGGCAACAATGAAGTATGTTAATTGAATCACAACACCTAGCTGATTGCAATTAGTCAAGGGGCAATTAAACAAGCTGGATACAGGTGTAATTAACAGGTGTATTAATTTCATTAGCCCGCACAGAGCCAGATTGAACACTGGGCTTCACTTTAAGCAACGTGTTAGATTCAAATACATGTACAAAGCTTTGAGCCTCAATAAAGAGGTATTTAGGTAGATATAATACCAATCTATGGATTTAATCACATTTCAAGATACATCTGAGAGGTTTAAGGTGCGTTGAGCGCCCGGACCAAGCCGGACCGAAAGCTTGTGAAACTGTGTCTTTGTTGAGAATGTATAGAAATTAGGGCTTCACTTTAAGCAACGTGTTTGCTTCAAATACAACGCTTTGAGACTCTATAAAGACGTTTGTAGGTAGATATAATAAAATTCTATGGATTTAAACACAAATCAGGATACATGTGTGAGGTTTAAGGTGTTTTTGAGAGCCCGGGCCAAGCCGGACCGAAAGCATGTTATACTATGTGGTTGTTGAGAATGTATAGAAATTAGGGCTTCACTTTAAGCAACGTGTTTGCTTCAAATACTACGCTTTGAGACTCTATAAATACGTTTGTAGGTAGATATAACACTAATCTATGGATATAAACACATTTCAAGATACATGTGTGAGGTTTAGTTTGTTTTTGACAGCACGGGCCAAGACGGGCTGAACAGCGACTAAACACTTTTGATTGAGGCTATGTTGTGAATGGAGAGAGAAAAGGGCTTCACTTTAACGGAGCAGTTTTCTTTACAGGTGGCATTTTGTAACATCACACATTGATAATTAGGTAGATATAATACTAATCTATGGAATTAAACACAAATCAGGATACATGTGTGAAGTTTAAGGTGTTTTTGAGAGCCCGGGCCAAGCCGGACCGAAAGCATGTTATACTATGTGGTTGTTGAGAATGTATAGAAATTAGGGCTTCACTTTAAGCAACGTGTTTGCTTCAAATACTACGCTTTGAGACTCTATAAAGACGTTTGTAGGTAGATATAACACTAATCTATGGATATAAACACATTTCAAGATACATGTGTGAGGTTTAGTTTGGTTTGACAGCACGGGCCAAGACGGGCTGAACAGCGACTAAACACTTTTGATTGAGGCTATGTTGTGAATGGAGAGAGAAAAGGGCTTCACTTTAACGGAGCAGTTTTCTTTACAGGTGGCATTTTGTAACATCACACATTGATAATTAGGTAGATATAATACTAATCTATGGATTTAAACACAAATCAGGATACATGTGTGAGGTTTAACGTGTTTTTGAGAGCCCGGGCCAAGCCGGACCGAAAGCATGTTATACTATGTGGTTGTTGAGAATGTATAGAAATTAGGGCTTCACTTTAAGCAACGTGTTTGCTTCAAATACTACGCTTTGAGACTCTATAAAGACGTTTGTAGGTAGATATAACACTAATCTATGGTTATAAACACATTTCAAGATACACGTGTGAGGTTTAGGTTGTTTTTGACAGCACGGGCCAAGTCGGGCCGAACAGAGATTAAACACTTTTGATTGCGGATTTTGTTTTCCGAGGACTTTTTTCCCCTAAATTGTTAGGAATGGAGAGAGAAAGGGGCTTCACTTTTACTTTACTTGATGAAGTGGTATTTAGGTAGATATAATACCATTTTGTGTTTCATTTGTATTAATAAATATAAGCATATGCATACGCGCTGGCTATCTGATTTGGACTGGTATTGTTTTTACAATGAAAACACATAAGAATTTTTGTGTTTCAGGAATGCATACTTTGTTTGATCCTTAATAACATATAACAAAATGTTGTGATTTGAAATATTTCTTTTAATATACATAATCATGTCATATTTGCCCATTGACACTCGACGATATCCACGTCTCTTTTACATAAACATCCTGTGCTCATTCAGCATGAGACAATAAAGGTTAATTAGGGAACCCCAATATCTTAATTAAGGAAAGAAAAGCAGTCAAAACACTGTCACTTCCTGCCCAGGACCCCAGGATGTCACACGCTAGGAGACGTAAGCAACCTTCCCTCATAGACATATCAAGGAAAACACATAACAACAACACGGTGTCTTTTCTACGGGAATCTCGGTATGTAGTCATTGTTGCTGTGTGGGTTTTTTCACCATTAACTATATATTTTCAATCAAACTATGCATTTGTGAAGGCAGGAAAAGTATCGACCTAAATGTGCAGGTTTCGTTTTAATATTCTGCAATCCATTTTTAGTATTACCCGGTGGCCCGGCCCGGCCCGACTTTTCTTGGCCCGACTTTTAGGCCATCCCCATCAAAGAGGTACATTGGGTGGGGTTAATACATATTCAGTCATCAGACGTCTACGTTGTAGGTATTTCACTTCCTTATTGAGGGTATTGGGATAGTATCGCAATTGCTGTAAGTTGGATGATAAAAGGATGGCATAAAAGTTTGATGGCATACAAATCAGGCATATGATAGAGCTTGAAATAGTCCAGTACACAATCATTGCAGGGACTCGAGTTGATATGGCTAGAGTTGCCTAAAATTGCTAACATCTGAAGGGATGATGTAAATCCAGCTGGGGTCCATGCAGGAAGCAGAATGATGGTCCCTAATATGGTGATCTACCTTCAGCTGTTGGCAATCTATAGTCTGTTTTTATATTGTCTTGTCATGTGAAGTTAAAATGGTTTAAATGTAATTAATAGTCTTAAAATATATATCTGCCATAATCTAGTCCTTTGTTGACTGGTTTGTATGATTTACCTTTCATTTTTTTATTTCTATAACTTGATTTAGTCACGATATGGCTGAAATACTGCCGATGTGATTTAAACCCTTAACTCACCCACTCACTCACTCAAGTTGATGATAAACAGACGTGTGATCGTTAGAGACTAGTACCTGGTCATTGAATCACACATCTCTGTTTCTCCCCACAGGTTCCTGTCAACCAGGAAAGTTTGGAGACTCCTGCAGCTACTCCTGTCACTGCGGGACATCATGTGACGAGACTACAGGTGCCTGTTCTGGTTCGTGTGATCGGGGATGGAAAAAGGAAGTCGGTCTTTGCCAGAAACGTGAGTGACACATACACAGGCTTTGATTTTGATGTGATTATTCTGCTTTGGTCGATGTGAAAACAGACTCTTTGTACAAATCATTATAAATGTCATGATGATCCCTTAACTCACACCATACATGACATTTGTAATACAACAGATAGGTTGTAGGGTTGAGATTGACATAAGACTATTAACTAGAATCCGACTATCATCATGCATGTAAACCCATGTTAACCCTTTCACATACATGTATAGGGAATGTATGGACTTTTGTGAGGACATAATTATTGTCCTACATTGCACAGAAAAAGATAGCAACGCCTTGAGAGTACGGAGGCTGGTACCCGTCAGGCGATAGATCGGGGCAGTAACGTTACATGATTATTGTACTTCACAGAAAACATTGCCCTGGACAAGACAGCATCAACAACACCTTGAGTGTATGGAGGCTGGTACCCGTCAGGCTATAGATGGGGGCAGTGACGTTACATGATTATTGTACTTCACAGAAAACATTGCCCTGGACAAGACAGCATCAACAACATCTGGTCATCATAGTATATGGTACCCATCAAAGGCTGTGGATGGTGACAGTGACATTGGTGGTGGGAACAGAACCTGTTTCCACGCTTTTTGATCTCCGTCAGACTGAACAGTGGATCTGGGCCGGGACTTCCAGCTGTATGACATCAGGATCTACACTAGACGTGGATGTAGGTATCTATCGTGATCAAATAGAGAATGATGCTATTGTAATAGTCTGAATACCATCTTAGATTGTTATGAATCACCGTTGACCCACCTTAGACTCCTTCCTGAATTCTAGTTTTGCATTACAGTATATCAAAATACATAAACAAGCAACAATTTACACAACCCCAAACCATATTGATATATACCAAAGACTATAGCAAATGATACTCAGATAACATGTTTATCAGCATATGTAAACACTCTACATCAATGAATCAGCTTCAAGGTTCTATACAACAAATATATGGCAGACAATAGAGAATGACACCCAGATATGTGCAGTAGGCTGGCATTGATCTATCTGACGAGGAATATTTTCATTAAATGCTTTTGATGTAACAGTGTATAGCAAAACAGAGCCGCGCCATCACCTAATATACCTCAACGAATAATTTCTAGATTTATTGCTATTGCTATTCTGTTTTATAATAGATTTACAAATTGAAAACAACCCCAGGGAGGTTCCCCTGATGCAAGGGGATTTCATTAACAGCAGTAATGGCTATTATTGTTAGCCTATTTACAGTCGGTAATATTGATCATGTTTACCAAACAAAGTATGAATGTAATTTTATATACACGAGTGTAGTTTGGGGTTGGGAAATATGCTGCATTAGGACGAGACAGTATGTATTTAACATCTGCTTTGTAGATGCCATACATTTACTGTATTTTGTTTTGTATTGGAGTGTGGTGTATTATTGATGTATTCACACAACATGGTTGTATCTTGGCTTTGTTTGATACCTATGACAAACACACACACTGTAACTTTCTGTACCGTGTAAATGTCTTCATTAGTAGTGAGTAAATTCACATTTATCGTCACATCGGCAATATGTCACATCGGATATAGATTGCCAACAACTGAACAACAATAGATTCTCCATGTGTAGATAATAGGCCATGATATACATGAGTTACTATACAGCTACGGACGGTAATTTACGTATGAAAACCTTTGAGGCTGAGGACGTTTACTGTAAGATACAGCATATGTCTGAACGAATTCTAATCACCACGGGATATTGTGCATGTGTATCCAGAAGATTCCTGAGTTCAATGTGCTGTTTATTTAGAGTTGTTGAGTTTTAATGTAATTAATTCTAAACCCCTTCTGCTCTGTACCATACTCTGGATCCTCTCAGTAACGTTATTAGTCCATTGCATGGACATAGTTTTTGTGATCTGATATATACGCTAACAGCAACTATATTGACACAGTATTATAGTGCATCGTAGTCTGAAACAGTGTTTGTTTTACTCAAGTCTACTTTAGAAATGCCAACTCCAGCATCTATCTGAACAACGACCCCTCCGCCATCTGCTCCACCCTCCCGAGTCCACCAGATACCCCCAACCCAACTGACGTGACGTGTAACGGTACCGGCAGATACGTCACCATCAGGAACCCGGGGACAGGGCCTATATACGATGATGCACTCAACATCTGTGAGGTGGAGATTTATGGTATGTCATTTACTGTATTTACAAGTAATTGTCCATTCGTGTTCTGGTGACACGCTGCTGTCTTATTGTCCTTTAACTGCATATTCTATTTCACTTTCTCGCTAAAGATCCCATTGTTTTTATAACAATAAGCTGGTATGACACGGTGTTTAATAACTGGACGCGTGCTTTTGAAAAGCTGAATCTAGATCATAAACAAACTCTTAACATATCTGGGTATATTTAATGACATTTAGTTGGAGGTAATAGATCAACAAGAGGACCTCAGGTACACTCGAAGAACCAGGTTGCTAGATTGTTACGTTTCGCGGGGTGTATCATGCAACAAATTTCACCAAAGTACAACAGTTGTATTTGTTAACGTTGTGGTGCTGAATACTAAAGCTGTCTTTTGTTTGGTTTCAAATTGATACGAATCAACGTTTAAATTCAAACTTTATTATTTTGTTAAACTTAACTGGGTGTGTTGTTGATCGCCCCGCGTCCGTCCATTTACACAGGACATTTAAATATTGAATTAATACGCTTGGCCAATTTTATGACAACAATAAGTAACTAAACGAGATTCTATGTAATACCAAGTTAAAGTAGATGCGTATGGTATCCACCGATGGAAAGCTTATATGGGATTCTGTATTCAGATATTTTTCTAACGCCTTTTCGTAAAACAGGCTGTCCTAGATTTCTGTGGTGTATGAAGAACAGATTTAAATACAGTACAGTTATGCAAATATAACTGATATATTCAATCAATTGTTTCACAGTTTCGTTGGTCCGATGTTTCAGATAAATTGCGAGTAATTGGTACTATGGGTAGGGCAGGACATACTTACACCTTTCCGCGAATATCGAATATCTGCTACTGATCTTCAGTCATCTGATTATGAAACTGTCAGTGCTCATTTGCATTTGATTGTCTAATTTGCCTAGTTGATTTTTTTCGTTCGAATAATCGAGACTGGTTAATATTCCCATGAGCTGACGTTTATTCACCTTGAAACTCTCTGACGTTACAAGTCCACATATCAAGCAGAGACACACGACTTCATTCTCCTTGCCTATGTAGAATAGTGTACATATCTGCCTGGATACTACTTTGGCATTTGCTATGGAGGTCAAGGTCATGTTCTGGTGCTGCAATAATAACAAGTCACTCCAGGATGATGTATAAACTTGGTTGCTAAGTGTGACGCATTTAGTAACAAAGATGTCCATGTTTCTTACGCATCAACGAGAAATTTATTTTTGATGCAAATAAAAACAATATTTTTCAGTATCCCCAAGTCCTGCAACTATGAAGCACACTTTGTGTAATAGAAAATAGAAAAGGGCTGGATTCGACGTGTACTAGTTTGTATCAGTTCGTGTTATGATTGAGTACTAATAGTAAGAAGTGTACTGAAAATTGTGCCAACACCAACTGTCCACATCTGTTAACTAGTTTTGTCATTTTTATTCTAAGATTCAGGGCTTGTAAATATATCAATGAAATCAACTAAATAGGGCAAAGTCATGTGTCATTTCCGGAGATTCAGCCTTTAAATATTCCCACAATTTCCTTTCTATTTATGCCTCCCATATGCATTTACAGACCTTGGATATTTGCCGTAATCAACGAATGCACTCACTACTCCATTGTGCCTACAAATTGCCTACAAGATAAATTTTGAGAAATGGGTACAGCCGGTACTGCAGGACATGCTTTCCCCTATCGCCAACATCTGATGTCAATACTCATCTTCAGTGGTCTCTTTTATGAAATTGTCAGTGCTGAGTTGCATTTTATGTCCAACGGAGTCTGTTTCTGCGGATAATCGAAAGTGGTTAATATTCTTTGGAAAGTCTCTAATGTTGCAAAGTCCACATATTGTCAACATTTACGTTACCAAACAGTGAGACACGAAACCAGTCTTCCTTGCCCATGTATGATGTTGTACATATAATTATCTCGATACTATTTTGACATTTGTTATTGAACTCAAACTCATGTTCTGGCGTTGCAATAATAACATATCACTGCAGGATGATCTGTTAAGTCACATAGTGTGACCCATTTAGTAACAAATTAGACTCATTCTATAATGCTAAAGATGTCGATGTATCTATGGTATCAACGCTACATATATCAATTAAATCAGCTAAATAGGACCAATTTAAGTGTCATTTCCGTGACTTCAGCCAATAGAAGTTAGCACAATTCCCTTTCCATTCACGCCGACCATATGCCTTTATAGACCCTTGATGTAAACGTTTGTCCTTGTCAACAATTGCACTACCTCATTAAAGCTAGTCTATACATAAAAAATTCCCTTCCACCACCCACTCCTCTATATGTGCCCCTTCCCCCAAAACATCCCTGTGGTGTAGTGGGTAGACCGATGGACAAGAGTTTCGATCCCCTTGTAGCAGCAACATCTAAAGACGCCTAAAGACTATAAGTGTTGTTACTCAGCCTAGTGTCGGCACCAAGGTGACAAAACCAGTATTTGCCGGATGAGAGTTATTGTAATGTGTGTTAGTGTGACAGCCATGTTAAACTGCAGGATAATATCTCAGTCCAAACATAAGTCTGGATTAGTTAAAAATCAACACATATTTCTATGCACAACGTTGAACCCAATCTAACCATATATCACCTTCCTTCCCCCCCCTTCGAATACAGTCATATGTACCTTTCTTGTCTTGATAATGCACCAGTTTGCAGCCCAGGAATCTACGGGGTGGACTGTAATAAGTTCTGTCACTGACTGGATTCTACCTGTGATCGCTTGACTGGATTGTGTCCCGGAGACTGTAGACCAGGGTGGCAGGGACAGAGATGTGATACAGGTGAGACGTTTCTACTGTCAGGATTGATGGGTTCCAGTAATTGGTACAGAAGACTATAGACATTCACAAGGTATATGTCACAAACACAAGCAAACCCATGTTCAGTGTTCACCACAAAAATACTATGAACATACTGTACTTGTCAAAATCAATTACTGCTATCGAAGTCACTTGTGCCACAGAAGCGACACATTTGGCAATTGAAATCCTCTCAGGGGAATAATGAAGACTTCCCGAGTGAGTGAGTGAGTGAGTTAATATTTAACGTCACATCGGCAATATTTCAGCCATATCGTGACAAGAAAAAAGAATGATTATATCATATATCAATAAAATTAGAAATTAAAACCTGTTGGCGAAGAACAGTAAAACTACTAGTGTATCACAGATATCCATTTAAAACTAGTAATTAAATCTAAAACATGTTGATTAGAAATGACAAGACAGTGTAAAAACAGGCTAGAGATTGCCAACAACTGAAGCTAGATCACCATACTAGGGACCATGGAGAGTTCCCGAGCATATTTAACAAATGAACTGGAATAGATTTGCAATTACATAACCTCACATTTTTATGAAAATTATCCTATCTAATAACGTGGTATGTATATCATATCACCATGTCATTGTTTAGATTTGAATGCCAATGGTGTTTTTTGTGATTCAGAGAGGTATTCTTTTTGGGCCGTAAATTGTATTTGCTGGAGTGTATTGTAATGGTTGTAATACATCTCCGAGGGTAATAATTTAAACGAAAGTACATTCAGATGTTCGCTTTTTACACTGCCAGTCATTTGCCCCTCTGGAAGGTATGGACAAAAATGAGTTCTGCAGTTCCCGCAACTGTAAAACGCCATCTTCTGTATGTGACGTCACTGGATCATGCCCAGATGGATGCCGGGAAGGCTGGCATAATGATGACTGCAGGATGAGTGAGTCTTAGTTCAAGAATTCAATATACGTGAGACTAAGATTGAGAATTGTTTTCTGTTATGTAAGATATATATCTGAGCGGCACAACACGTGTAACGCCGAATGCTATAATGAACTGTGGCCGACAATATGTATGTATAAATCGAGTTGAAATGGTGTTGGCAGAGATGATACTGGGAAAAAGATAACACGGTAAAGAATTATGAAGTTCAATAATTTACGTGCTGCTTTCTGGTCATGTGCAAACATGTAAGGCATGTAATGCGAAATGCCAATTGGATGTTATATACTGAGTGATGGACATTAAGATGGACATTATATACTCTTAAAAAAAGCAGGGAAACCTGAACTTTCTCGTTAGATAGTAAATAAAGGCGTTATCAAACTTTTCAAAGACAGACATCTTATGAACACACCCCCATTTCTCTTGATTACCCTCCTTAAACACAACGCATGGGATGCAAGTGCACAGTGCAGTAGCCCCCTACACGTGCATGGGGTGTCATTCTTGATTTTGAAGGTTTTCAAGAGAACTACTGTAGACTATTAATTCTGACAATCATCTTGCACCACACAATTGTTAGTGTTTGTTTCAAGCCGTTTCTTTGTTTCAAAATGAAACCGTGCACATGCAAATTTCACGTCATACACCAATCATTTACTGTGCAAACAACTATGGTCATAAGGAAGTGCAAATGGTGATGCACTCACAAGACATTCATTATTATCATATCAACATTGATTGACTCCGATATATCGCCGCTTTTTTCAATCGTACATTAAAAATGACGTTCCCATACTTTTTGGAAGAGTATAGTTCAGTTACATTGTTATTGTATCTCTTAAAGAATCATCTTGACTGAATTTGGATCGAAAGCTTCGTTGTAAGACATTTCAACCTTACGAAACAAAGATATAATTGTTGTATGATCAATCTCTCTCTTCCTTTGCTTGGAGCATGTCAGAGTGGGAAGTACGGTTCTAACTGCATCAAGTCTTGTGATTCACGTCATTGTGAAACTGCACCAGTCTCCTGCGACCACGTGGCAGGAGCCTGCGCTGCCGGTTGTCGGGAAGGATGGATTGGAGCAGACTGTACTCAGAGTAATTTTCCAAATATTTTTGTATTTAAATTATATTCTTAGAATTATATTCTTTGATGAAGGTGTATACAGCTCTCGCTCTCATATGTTTTCAAACATATTTTAAGCTGAGATGTTAGCCTGTGTCAGATGCGA